CGAGGGCAAACATGCATTAACATGTGCACCTATGCAGTGAATGCGTACCAAATGACTCAGTTTCATTTCAAAACATGCCCTCTTTTGTTCCAGCTCAGAGCGGATAGAGTTCGTGTGCATGAAATACATTGTAATGGTGTACATTTACCTGTAGTGCATTAATTATCAGGCCTTGACCTTAAGCTTTTTTATCTTCACCATACATGTACATGTATAGATATTACTGATGTGAATTTTCACCAGTCCACTGGACACTGTTTAGCAAAACCACACAGTACTTTGACCGGATTTTTCAACTTTATTTTGTAACCATTACGGTAGCGTCATGCTTCTAATTTAAAAACTTAAAGTAGAGGATTCAAAATTGTTGCAATTAATGAGAAATAACACATACTATGGTCAAGTTAAAGGATGTATTTTACTATCCTGCAGAAGTTTTTCCCAGAATTACTAGCATATTAGAACCTATACCTGTCTAGTGGTGAGTTTGAGGCCTGAATTTTACATACATGTGTATTCATGTACATATTTTGCATGCCCGATCTCTTTTGAGGGCAGTAAACTGTGCATATACATGTATAAATACCTACATACCGGAACATAGCACATTAACGTGGATTCAATTGTTTTTTCTTGCTGTTGCATAAATTGAAAGTATTGAACTCTGGGGACAAACTAACAGCAAAACATTTTTAAAACTACGGACGATTCTATGGCAAAATGAGCATAACTCACAAAATGGAATTTTATATTGTTCATGTAAATACTGTTGTGTGGTAAGATGTAGGGAATGCCATTTAAAACCATGTTATCTTTCAATTGCCACTTGTCGCATTACATGTACCTTTACAATGCAAATAAAACTATAGAAAATTAAATCAATTTTTATTTCCTGTGATTTGTTTTTGCAGCAAATCCTCCAGGCCCAGACACAGGTAAACTCTCACTGGTTTTATTTTTCACATTTACTGTCCCTATGCCTTTCACAAATACTGCAGTTAGTCCACCTGTTTATGATACGAGTACATGTATGTACTTTAACGTATCCACCATGCAGATGAAAATAAGATTAACCAACCACATGTGGCTTACACTTAAATGGTGGCTAGAATAGATTTTTGTGATTAAAAACCTCTAAAATGCACCTTTCTGCCACAGTTTACCTTAGTGTCAATGTGGCAGAGCCAAAATTTCGAGTAGACATAGAACACACGTAGTCCCCCTAAATGTTGCATCATGGCTGTATTCCCTCATTGTTTATCTTTTACTAGCTGCCCTGTGTGCAGATGTTGCTTATATCAGGTACCATGACTCACTCCCAAGGAATTAGTTGCAGATCCCCCCCCTTAGCTTC